TATGTAATGATGTTTACTTTGAATTTATATCAGTTCACACAAACACTCCATCCATGCTTTTGTTCCGGCCCTCCGGTCCAGTTTAAGAACCCATTGTGGCCCTCGAGTCAAAAAATTTGCCCACCCCTGATCTAGATGCTAGAGGAATTACACAGAATGCTTTTTTAAAATTTGTTCATGCATTCATTTAATGAACTTTTTTCTTGAGTACCTACTAATGACCATATTCTAGATTTTGGGTTTGGATTTAAGAAACTGAGTTAGACAAGGTTTCTCTCTTCAACATACAAACAAATAAAAGTGATAACACAGTGTGGTAATTTTAGTGATCTAGATATGGAACAAGGCATTGTGATAGTTTTCTATAAGACGGCTTCACCAAATCTTTTTGGATCAGGAAAACCTTCACAGCAGGGGGGTGGGGGGATGCTTAAATGTTAAATAGGGTCTTAGAGTCCACTAGAATAAATAAGACCTGTACTGAGCTTGGTTACATTTGATTATGAAGTCATTTTTGTGAAAATTGACCTCTAGGTTCTAAAGTTCCATGTGTTACCTTTGCCGCCCCAACTTCCCCACAGTTGCATGCATGCAACATTTTTTATTTTTCTGTTTAGTTTAGGGCCTTAAATCAACAGAATAACTGAAAAACAGGTGTGATGATATTGTAGACTCACTTTTGGGTTGTGATTACTGCATGAATGCATATATCCATATTCCAAAGTAGGAATAATAATATGTATATACATAAAATGATCTCATGATGTTAGGACACATTACAAAGTCCTTTTTATGCATTATTTCATTTACTTCTTATAGAACAGTTTAGTGCTTTTTGGTTTCCTGAGTGTTTTAAGCACTCTTACTGATAGATATTAGCACAAGAATTAGCACTGAATAATTATGTATGAAGGATTTGCAAATAATTTTTCTCTCTTTATTCCAAAGTAATCATGCTGTGTTTTCTGAATTTATTTAGATCCTCAAAACAGGTGTCTAGGGAAGAGTCTTTTTACCACTCTTTTCGTCAGCTTTGTCACTTATCAAATGGGAATATTGCTACTATTACTAACAATAACACCGATTTTACCTTGCTAGATTGAGGTGGGAGTAAAATCATTAATCTGTGTGAGAACATAATGTGTATAACTAGTCACAATTGGTAATACATTATGTACCTTTTGAGTGACCAGATTGTCAGCTACTTAAGTACAGGTGAATTAAGCTTAATTAATTATTGTTTACCTGTTTCTCCAAACTTTCTAAGGTAGCTTCATGTTTCCTCTCTTCTGTTTACCCCAAAGTGATTGCTGGCGAGTGCTGTATGTTCAATAGCACTTGTTGAATTATTTATTTTTTAAGGTACTACTGACATTTTTTGTTTAGGATTCCCCAAACCTCTTACTTAATTTACAGATTATAAGTTCTTTTGAT